TGCGTCAGCTGCGACACAAGCATCCAAAGCCTCCGCCGCCTCTGTTGCGTCAGCAGCGACACAAGCATCGCAAAGCCTCCGCCGCTTCAGTTGCGTCTACACAAGCTGCATCGTCAGCGTCAATTGCATCTGCTGCAAGCGCGTCGTCAGCATCCATTGCGTCTGATGTTTCCGCGACCGCATCGTTGGCTTCCGTCGTTGCTGCTGCATCTTCAGCCTCTCGGGCGTCCGCATCTGTAGCCTCTGCTGCTTCTGCTGCTTCTGCCCCCTCAGCCTCTGCCGCGTCAACCGCATCGGCATCTGCTGCTTCTGTTGCATCTTCCATTGCACAGTTCGGCGCTGGATCCCAAGACTCATCCTCGTCGGCGGCTGTCATCGCTGCTGTCGTTGCGTCCGTGGCAGTCATTGCGCTCATTGCAGTGGTCTTTATCGTGTTGCGGCGCCGGCGCTCGCAACGCTCTGTCATACGACCGAAGGACTCTGCCGGTCCCGTCATCGATCAGACGACAATTGAAATGACAATGTCTCCTCTGGTCCATTCGAGTGAATCTCGCATCGAGGATGACGGCTCAACCTCCTCCAAGCCCAGCCAAAAGCTGCAACCAGAATCGCAGAACGCTGCCAGTCCCATCTACCAGGAGGCTGATGAAGTGACAACTTCCCCTCAAAACCATTCGGCTGGAGCACGCGACAAAGCGGACATTCCATCCCCAGCGGCGATCGGTCAACAACAGTCGTATCAAGCTGTCCCGACCGCCCCGCCAGAAGAGGTGGTTTACGATTATGCGAGCGCGTATGTTGCCGGCAGCAATTCTCGTCGCGTTCGCGAAAGCTTGACCATTGGGAAGCACCTTGCCAGTGGTGAATTTGGCGATGTGTCACTGGGTCAGGTGCCTTTCAACGTGTTGCCCACAAGAGCTCAAACCTTGCTCGGACCTACAGCGTCGCCAACCATGCTGGTTGCAGTCAAGTCTTCCAAGGCCGACGCTGACGAGAAATCTCGCCAAGACTTTGAGGCTGAGGCGAAATTGATGGCTCCGTTTGTACATCCGAATGTCGTGCGGTTGCTTGCGGCTCTGGTCGAGTCAGAGCCCCATCTCGTTCTGCTAGAGTTTGTGCAGTACGGCGATTTGCGCACGCTGCTGCAAAAGTCCAAGCTGTATTCGCTTTGGTGGACGCACAACGAGCAGGTGCATGCCATTCGCCAGATTGCTCTCGGGATGGAGTACTTGGGCACGCTGAACTTTGTGCACCGAGATCTTGCCGCGCGCAACTGCCTTGTGGGGCAAGGAATGGTGGTCAAGATTGCCGATTTCGGGCTTTCCCGCGAATTGACGGATGAGCAAGATTACTATCGCATGCAAACGCGAGGAAAACTTCCCGTGAAGGTGGGTTGAGTCAGATGGCTCCACTGCTGGTCGTATGTGATTCTGATTGTGTTGGTGATTGTAGTGGATGGCACCGGAAACAATGACCTTCCGCAAGTTCTCGTCCATGTCGGATGTGTGGTCGTTTGGTGTGACTGCCTGTAAGTCGCGTCATTTCCGCTGATACCTGCTCTTGCGTCGAGATTTGACTTTTTATTGGTGCACGTTGGTAGGGGAATGCTCTAGTTACGGCGCAATGCCGTACGGCAAGATGAATGGCGCTGAGGCACTGGCTCATCTGGAGGCTGGTGGTCGACTACCCAGGCCGGAGCACTGCTCAACTGACCTGTTTAGCTTGATGTTTAGTTGCTGGAACTCCATCCCAGAACTACGCCCAAGCTTTACGCAGCTCGTCAAAGCTCTGAAAAACTTTGACGATGGAACAGCGATCCGCGAGATCGGGGCTCTGCTGTGAACACGATGTTGGAGATGTTTGACTTGTGTGTCGCGCACTTGAAGAGTCGTCGGTGGATATCCCGAACGACATCTGCGCATTGAATATCTGCAGGATTGTTTTAATTGCATTGCTAGTGCTAGCTCGTGTTGGTTGTTTGATTTCTAGAGGTTGAGGCCAAACTCCAACCTGTCTCCGCCATCACGGCGAAGTCAGTGTGTTTGCGGTGCTTGAGTTGCACCCGCAGTAACTATTACTGCACAGAGCGAGCGCGATGCGAATACGTGATGCCTCATCACCCTCATGGACAATACAAAGCAGAAAAAGCAAATTGATCAAGAAGAAGAAGAAGTGTAATTTGCTTCACGCTGTTCGGGCGAGGCAGGGTTGGAGGCGGGCCTTTCTGGACACGCGACAAACACCCAGAGAGCAAAACAAGACAAAGAGACACAGAGAGAGAGAGAGAGACAGAGAGAGAGAGAGAGAGAGAGAGAGAGAGAGAGAGAGAGAGAGAAAGCGGCATCAAA